ACGTCACAGAGAGCGCGGTGACAGAGCTCAAGAGACCCTCATGTTCTTAGCATGCAGTGTCTCCACTGTGGGATGCTATTAATAACCGAGCAGTGCTAAGACTGAATGAGCTTCAAGACATTTTCCTTGCCTTCAACCTTTCTGTTTCTCGTAACCATGAAAAGTTCCCAGCAGGGAGAAAAATAGTTGCATTGCTACTCATTATGTGTGTACATGTGAGAGGTTTTGCCGAATATTTTAACTGGCAGACAAATATTAAGAATTGGCTCGATTCCACCATTCTCTATAAAACCAAAATCCATCCACACATGTGACTAATTCATTTTTCTGGAATCCATCCAGCCTGAGTTAAATGTGAAATGACTTCATTACAGGACCATCCGTTCTCCCCGCTATTAACAAGCTTTTCAAAACAGCAGACCTGAGCACAGTTTACCTATGAGTCTTCATTAAAATAAGTTTAAATAAAGGCTATGTGTTCGGTGAGCTAAGGAAGAAAGAAAGAACAGATATTAAGAAACAGCCTCATGCCTCAGTGCAGCACTATAAATCTACTGAATGAGCCAGCACAATCCCCAGTAGTGATTACTTATTAATAAGAACTGGCAAATAGCTGCCAAAACTCCCTCTGCTGCGAGTACTCCACGATAATGAAATGCAAGTAAGCAATAACTGACCTCAAAGTTAGGTGTTAATTATTGGATGTGGTCTGCCTGCAATCTCCCTCCCTTCCAACCCCCAGGCCACCTCAGGGTAGGGGGGCACCGTGGCAGCAAGGACTCCTGCATCCCACATCAAGCCTCAGCTTTAGAGCCAGAGCTCACCCCTGGGGCAGGGAACTGAGCGTGCCTCTCTGCACACCTCACGCCCTCCACACCATGAAAATAGAAGTCTCAAGTGGATTCCAGTGAACGGGAAGATCCTCACAGGGAAAAAAGCTGAAGCTACAAGTTATCACTCCTGTTAAGGTCAGGGGCTATGTGGTCCAGGCTCAGGAAGAAACTGAAAGTGAGGCAGGCGTAACAGAAAATGTGCTTAAGACGCTGCATTTTACCATCTCAGCTGCTACACCTGTGAAACAACCTCCACACAAGATCCTGAGCAACTAACCAGCCTCCACAGTGCACAGAGACAGGCTCAAACAATGTATCAGCAGCCAGGATAAACACTGAGATGCTTTCTGAGAAAAAGAGAACGAGGAGCAAAAAAAATTTAAGGCTATGATTGTCATGTGATCCAAAGCCCTTCTACAAGCATTATGGAATCAGGACATAACCTGGGATCACTTATGCAGATTTACATTAAATGCAGGAAAGTACCACCTAGGAAAACTATTCCTCTGTGCTGGAAAGTAGTACTCACCCGAAGTGAAAACCAGAAGCCTTTGTACATGGAAAACTACGCTCCAGTATTTCTGACCTGTCCTTACTTACGGAGTCATAGGAGAGGGGGAATTTAGGAATTTAGTTGCTGAAGTTTGGAGGATTTAAGCACTTGTCTTTCCAAATGATTTTACCAAGCCTCTAAATCAGATCCTTCATCAGTGTGTTATTTTTCATTATCAGGTACTCTGCACCATTTAATTTAAGCATAAACTGGAACAGCCCTGCAGAGTTACTCCTGCAACTAACATTTCACAGGCCACAAAGCACCTAAGGACTTCAGAGTGCCCCAGATGGAAGTTTGTACTGGTGTCAGTCATGCACGTCCCACACCCATTCCACCCAGAGCAGAAAGGATGGAACAGTTGCAGTGATTTTCCGAACACTGCATGCCAAGTAGTATCAGCAGGGAGATGCAACACAGATGAGGAAGCATTTTAGAACCTGTCTCTGGAAAGTGACAGGTGAGAGTGTCTGTGAGTTTAAAGGGCACTTTTCCTATCTAGGCCACAATTTTTAAAGTGAAATTCATGGCAAACCTAAAGTTCATGTGGCCTGCCACTCCTCCATCACTGGGTGCAAGACGTCCTCGCAGCAAGGCTGAGCTTACCTCCACATCAGTGTCTGATGAACAGTTGGCCGTAAGTGAAAGACATGGTTACTGACTGCCAGGTTGTGTTCCAGCCGGAAGGGCTCCAGCACAACACCATCTCTCACGGGGAACGTCAGACGCAGCTCATCATTGTGGTTGGCTGGGATCGAAGAGGGAGAGAAAGCGTGAACTTTCCCTTTAGCATCTGCAGTGCAATAATAATGTGTATATTTATACAGAATAGTAACAAATGGCACAGTGATCTGCTACTGGGTCTAACTTAGCAGGTTCATACACACAAAAAAGAAAATCACAAGTAACTACAACATCTAACTGATACAAGTGACAGGGCTCAAACTGACAGCGACAGGAAACCAAAGTCTTATATTCTCCCACACTTAACATTAGGACCTTAGCTTTCCGGCCACAAACAGAAGCCACGCATGGCAAGAATTCCTGATTTTTATTACTGGATTGGTTCTGCATCCAGGCTTACGCTGTTGGCAGAAGACTGACAACAAATCTCTTTAATCACGGCAAACTGTGATAATGCTTATTTTCCCTGCTTTGAACTGGGCTCAACATTACCCAATTAGTTCCAACAGTTTCATCAGCTGAAACTAACCAATGACCAAAGACAGTACTATTCAATTACTATCTGATCTCAAAAACGAGGTTTCATGGTAACTTACAGCTAATCTATGAAGTCTAAATGTCTCTAAATGCTCTGCTCTTGCCCAAGTGTAATACCGCAGGCCACCTTCTACTTCATTTTTCAGCTATCCTGAACTCCAAACACCAGTTGCAAAGTGCTAATGCAGCAGAAGTTATTTTACAGAAAACATTAAAGTACTCCCAGTTCCCTAGTAAATGATATCTCCTATTGTTCATCAGTCACTTCAAAACCTCAAATATCTTGTGCTAGTATACAGCCAGAGAGATCTTGTTATTCCTGCCCTGTTCCCAGCCAAATGTAGTTGTGACATTGAGTGGCTTTGAAAGGAACATGTATCAATTTTTGGCATACTACTGAACATTCTTAAGAAGCCTGCATGGATCACAATAGGGACACCACTATAAATATTCACATTTTATGCTATTCTGCAGTAATGTTCAATGAATGGCTTCGCCCTTGAACAAAACAGACCACAATGAAAGTTCATACAACAAACAAGCCTACCAAGCACACATAACACAACCCAAAATCAAGTGTTTTGTCCTCAGGAAGCATATCAAAGGAATGCTTCAGGAGTAAAATCCTTAAAAGTTTAACCTGGAAGAACTTTTCTGATACTCTGTTTTAGGAGGGGATAGCGATCTTTCTCTTTCCTGTCCGCTGGCTCTAGTGAGCCTGCACCGTGTATGCCACCTATCACAACTTAGCAGCCCGAGCCTCTCCCGGAGCAGCAGAGACTCTGAATTCCAGACTCTGAAATGCATGTGGCAGAAAACAGAGGAGGGACAATAAATGACTGTGGGGGCATTCTGTTTGCTACTCACTTGGAGGTGGTGGTAAAGCATTGATATTTGGTTTAATGTCAGGTGGGAATGGTGGTTTGACATCCTGGTTAGGTGACAGGTATGGAGGAATATTGCTCCCTGGAGTCATAGGTGGCGTGGGGTTTCCTGGAACAGGTGAATGAGGGTAATTTGCCACAGGTACAGGCCTTGATGGCTAGAAAATAAATAACATCACATTGTTATTGCAGTCTGAAAGTAAGAATAATAAGCCTTGTGAACCGTACTGCTATCAAACACCAAAGACGGTAGGGAGGCCCTTCTGTCTCCAGAAGGAGAAGAAACCACAGGACATCCCACGAGGCCTTCGGGAAGAGGCAGACGAGGAGAGCAAAGCAGGAACTGAAACCAGCAGACCAGCCAGCTTAATTCAAGCAATGACCAGCTACAAGCAACGCTGCCGAGAGGCTTATTGCATTCCTCTGAATACTCTCTTTCCAAAACCAACCAGCCATTCGCTTCATTTTTTCCACACCACCCCAACCCACCCAGCCTTTTCTATCTCTTTGGCTTCCTCCCAAAATAGCCCCAGTGCACAAAAGCCTACATGAAAAACAAAATCCAAAGACATGCAATTAGAATGTCTGTGTCCCTTTTACTTCCACCTATCCTTTCTTCCACCCCTGTCCAACTCATTTTCTCAGAATGAAAGCTCTGTGGGTCAGGGGGATGTCTTATTCTGTGTACCTACAATGTGATTCTGTTCTTAGTTTGCTGCTGAATAAGACAAACTAAGAGAAAAAGGATGGTTAAGTATAAATAGTAGCTATAGTATTAAAACACCATTGGTTTTGTTTCTTGTAATTAAGGGGATGATTGCAGTTAACAGAATAAAGCAATAACGATGATGCGAAGGAAGCTGACATTAAACAAAACTGCAGTTGCATGGCACTTTCTTGTAATAGCTTGTGTACCATAAACACATACACGTGAGAGCGTCAGAAGATGAAAATCTTTACAGACAGCCAAAGTATCAGGACTTCAAATCTGATTCTGTATCTAAATGCTGCACTGTTAGCCTAGGATATGCTAAAGTATATGAGAGGTGCATTCTGAAATCTGAAGCGTTAACATTTCCAGCCTCTTTGGTTTTTTCTTTAACACATGCAGTTACTATCTCCACAATCACTACAATTCAAAGGTTCAGGTGCTGTCTGTGGCAAGCTGGAAATTTTCCCCTAGCCAGGATAATCTCCCTTCTTAACAAGGTCTCTTATCTTCTAACTGGTTCCAGAACGGTTGATATTTGAATACAAGATAGCATTGGAAAGACCACAGATTCCTTGTTAGAACTATCCTGTAAAAAAAAAACAAACCCTTAAAACCCATTTAAAATGAAGACATGTAAAATGTATTAAAAAATCTGTCACTTAAATTCACAGAGATCTTCTGCTGTTATTTAGCATAAGTGACTGCACTGGAATTACAGTAGTTGAGGATCTGTCTCCTCCTTGTGTTCTTCCTGGCAGGGTACTGCAAAAGCTGCCACAACGCACAGGCATTCCTTTGGGTACCACAGAGGACAGCTTGGTTGCACGTAGAACAGATGCTCTATAGTAAAGGGTTTTTTCCCCCCTCTTTTTCCAATGGTGTTTTCTGTGTGAATCACACCGGAACAATTCCGGTTCAAGACCAATGTGCATCTTAGATTCTTTCAGCCTACATTCAAAACCAGAATCAACAGCTAGTGCTTTAAGAGCAGGTCAGACCATCAATGGTCCTCCATATTTTTATACTCACTGGAGTACCTGTGTGCAAAAGATCACTTTTGTGTGTACTTCAAAGACGTCAAATTTCAGCAGGCCCTCAGTACAAACTCAGTTTGATTAATACTAAGTGCTCAAGATGCAGCCATAAACCAGGTTTTAGGCAATGTTTTAACAATTCTAATTCTTGCCCAAAACAAGCAGTACAGAGGGAAAAGAAGGAGAAAAGGGGAGGGAGAGGTCGGAGAATGTCACACAAACTTCAGTTCAAAGATGAATTCTACAGCTGGAACAGCTTCTAAGTTTGGGCTGGCTTAATCCAAGTGACCACTGTAGGTCTGAAATCAGGATGCTGCAATGTGGAACTTGTTTATTACACACTTCCAAAGTTGGATTCTTGCAGGTGAAAACATTACACCTGAATCCCATTAGGTACTTCTTTTTACATGCTATATTTAAAGTGAAACCAACATTTTCTTGTAAAAGTCTCTAATGAGCTGCAGTAACATTCAATTTTCTTTATGAACTGCTCTGAAGTTACAATGCAACTTGGCTGATTGACTTGATTCTGTGATATCCAAAACATTAATAAAAACACTGTGCTTTTTTCTCTCTTTCTTTTAATTATGTAAAAGCAGTATCTATGAAGTCATTAATGTGACTTCATTCATAAATGTCTACCAGAAGGCAACAAGATAATCTGGAAATTCTTACCTTGTAATACTGCCCCATGTTGACTGTTGGAGGAGGGTACTGCCCTGTGTTTTGCTGGCTTGGCATCCTCTGTCCAGGATAGTTGGGAGATGTAAGGGGTCTTGGAGGGTTGGGAGTGGGGTACTGACCAGGCTGGTTTGGAAACTGGCTATTTGGTCCATACTGCTGGTTTCCATAATTTGGCTATTTCATGACAGAGATGAAAGAAGACAAAGATCTGTTTCATGCAAGCAGCCGTCTTGAATTGATTATTAGCATACATTCAATAGTGGAATCAAAAAAACCAAAAAACCCCTCCAGGTGAATACTCGCTCAACTTAGTGCCACTCCTGGTTAAGCCAGGGCCCTAATGGCTGGAGGTGAACACTCACTCAAAAGCCTAAGTCCCGCAAACCGAAGTGGGATGAGAATAACCCTGTACCTTAACACACACATACGCTCAGCCTTGCAGTGCTGCCAAAGGGCACCACGTTTGAAGAAACCAGAATTACAACCAGATGCTACGTTCACAAAATCTCTGGTTTTGCAAGTGCTACCAGCTCCATCCCTGGGGCTCCTTCTCCAGATAGAGAATGAAAGCATAGAAAGAAAAAGTAACAAAAAAAAAAGAGATCCTGGAATGGGCTGAGAGTAGAAGCTGTGTTGTCCATGCCTGTCTTCTCAACACAACTGCTATGCTGGCCCTGTGCTAAGAGTGTTTAGCAATACCCTAACAACTACATAGAAACTATTACTAGTCATAATCACCTTGCTAGTGCTAGCTAGTACTGTGCTGCAGTTTTGGAATCAAAGTCATGAAAACCGGAACTTTAAAGGTAATAAAATATCAAATTGAAAAATTAACTCATTAATAAGAAGTTTCCATAAATGAAGCTTTCAAAAACCAACAAGCAAATAGCATCTACAGGATCTGCAGAATTCCAGACCAGCAAGCACATAGCGTTTGGGGCACTGTTCAGCATGGACTTCTTGGGAACACAATCATATTCACTTACAACAATGAAAAACCTGCTTCTGAAGCAGCAAAAAGGGATTCACAGTCCTCCTCAAAATATGAAATCTGAAGATAAAAATTAACTGAACAAGCCACATGCTGTGTTTTCTTAACTTAATTGTAGAATAAGTGGCAGTAATTACAGAGTGAAAAGCCTTCCCAGAGAAGCAACTCCTGCAAAAGCACGTAACTTTTTTTGTTTGATTTTTTTTTTTTAACTTAAAAAAAATAGTTGCAGATCAGGAAAGAAATCCACTCCTGTGAAGGAAGTCTGCTTACAGTCTATGAATTCACCATCTAGCATGAAAATCTCAAAGTGACATTTTGAGGGCTCAGCTGGTTTTGGGCCCTTCTTGGTTTTAATGACTGTCATCTTGACTAACATAGCAAGGGCCAGCCTGAATACTTTAGCAGCTAAAAAGGAAGAGCTGCTGCCACTCATATTTTAATAGCAGTATTCCTACCAAGGCTAGAACAAAGACGTACCTATCATATGGGGATGCAGACCACACATTACCCGGCATGTTGCAACTTTCAGTCAAAATAATAGTGTACGCAAAATATAGTTTATTTTATTACCTCTCCCGGGTACGGTCTCTTTATGCCCTGTATAGGCAAAGACTGGGGGCGTGGGCCTGGGTAGGCTTGCTGAGGCATCCTCTGCCCATGGGTGCTGAAGGGACTCAGCTCCCATGCTTGCTGGGTTCATGTTGCCTGGCATAGAAGCAGGGCCACGGGGACCAGGCTGGTTCATAAACTGGTTGTTGTAAGCCTGAGTTGGACCCATCTGGAAAGAGGAACAAACCTTCAACGGAAGAAGAAGAAAAAAAAAAAAAAGAATAAAATGCGACATGCATTTAAAATGGGAGGAGGGAGCTGAACATGCTTTCCCATGCTTGCTGGGTTCATGTTGCCTGGCATAGAAGCAGGGCCACGGGGACCAGGCTGGTTCATAAACTGGTTGTTGTAAGCCTGAGTTGGACCCATCTGGAAAGAGGAACAAACCTTCAACGGAAGAAGAAGAAAAAAAAAAAAAAGAATAAAATGCGACATGCATTTAAAATGGGAGGAGGGAGCTGAACATGCTTTTAGGGGAGGGAAGAAGGGGGGGATTTATGTCGCATTTTCTTTCAATGTTCTCCAACATTTGATGGGCGGTGATGTTATTTATAATAAAAATTCAATTGGAATCGTAGAGGGCATAAGAGAGAAAGACAGACATAAGTCTAAGGTGAGCAATTAAATTGTTTAAATTGGCTAGTCTATTACTGTAAGGTAACAGGTTAGAAAGTTGGCTGTGTAAATACAGTACAACACCACAATTTCTAAGACATTGTGCTTCTTTACATCACCTGGCATATGGGCCCATATACTTCAAAACTCAGAGAGGTAAAAAAGCTAAGGAGGCAAAAACCTGAACTGATCAAACCCTTGTTTATTTTAAAAAAAAATTATTGCATGAAGTCATGACATGCTGGAGGCTATGGATCACCAGAAATGCATGTCTTGCATAGCTATTCTCATAGACAACGTTATTAAAAAGCAAATCTCTTTTCTACTGTTGTTTCCTTGTTTGAAGGGAAAAAACCCAACCAACCAACTGTAGTTGGCAAAGTAAATAATTACCCAAGCAGTACAAAACCTGTTCCAAGATTCTGGAACATTTCACCGGGTACTCAAATTTAGAGGTTCACAGGGCTGGCAAAGGCAGCAATATTATATCACCTCAGATGCAGCTGTAACATTGGGTAATCTTCAATTCTTTTAAGGGGCAATATCCAAACTACAAAATACACTTAGGCAAGTTTCATCGGGAAAAACACAGGAGACTGACTCATACCTACATACACACATTCCAGCATTTTCTCATAAGCATTTATAACCATGCTCATGCACAAAAAAAAATTAATAAAGTAGGCACCCTAATAAACAGGGGAGTAAGAAAGACAGCCCAATTCCCTGTAATGGTCCAGATCAGGCAGGTATGAAGACATAAGGGTTACTCTCTTACCGGTCCGTACTGGTTCATGTCCTTATTCTGTGTTTCCTGAAGCGCTGCCACAGTGGCTGTAGGCCCGCGCCCAGCCGCAACTGCAGCAGCAGCGGCAGCTGCAGCTGGCTGGGTGAAATCAGCGGGCGGCCTCGTGTGCGGGGGGATCCCCATTCCTGCAGGGGTATTTGGGCCTCCAGGGTAACTAACAGGGAAGAAAGAAAGAAAGAGAGAGAAACAGAATTAAGACATGCCTGGTGGATTTTGGTTTGCAAGTTGGTGTGATCCTCATCTGGAACTGTTCCAACACCACGTATCGATGCCTGATGAAAGCCAGCAGGATGGGGAATGAGGTGTGTACGCGAGACACAAGTATCGCTCAGGCGCACCAGGCATAGGGCTGCCGCCGGGATTGCAAGGCACCACCGCCAGTTGTTTTGGGGGCAGTGAACTGCTTTGCAGCTCTGTAGCTTACTGCAAAGTTGAATGGAAATCCTGAAAGTTGATGCATGCTCCATTTCCCAGTAGTGTAGGGGCAGACTGCACAGCAGCATGAAGAGAGAGCTTCCTCCACTACAGCACGTTCATCTGCCTCGGTGATGAACTATGCCAAGTGTTCCCGACATTGTAAAAGAATTCCTCCCCGAACCTCAGCAGAAAGGCCAGGAGAGACCCAATGCAATCGGTTCTATTGGATCCCACACAACGTATTTTGCAGTTCCTACCTGGCTCTGCCATTGATCGTAAGATAAATTAAGCTAAACCATGCCTTTCCCACTCCAAGACATCAACTATCTTTACAAATATGGGCCAGGATACTGTGCCCATTTTAGAGATGTTAATACTAAGCTAAAGAAACATTCTGACTTGAGTTCAAGGTCACTCAGTAGATGAGTGGCAGAGATGAAAGGAGAGGTACGTTCCCTGAGGCTCAGGCTTATATTCTTCACGGTAGACTGACTATGCTAACAACCTTTTCAGCAGGCTTTGCAGAGGGACCATAAATAGTGGTTTCAGTTAAGTGCACTTACCACCCTTGTTTACAAAGCATAGACACAGAAAGTCAAAATGTAACAGAACCCAGGCTATTAGTTTTGGCTTATTTCACTAATGCAGTATTTACTTCCCCAAAATAAATACACAGCTTGACTATCTCTCTTAACAAACATCTTCACCCCAATTCTTTTCAAAGTCCTGCTGTGGAGTAAGTCTTTGGGCAGAAATATCCCATTGCATAGGAACCTGCTTTTGCCTAATACTCAGGCTTATTCCTCCATACGCACGTAGAAATTATAGCATCAATACCTTTCACATCCTGGCCTTATTAAATGTTAATCATTCCTAAGCCCGTGGTCTGTTTAACAATCTCTCTTAATTAAAACTTTATTTTGGGGGTTTATTAGAGCTAATTGATTGACCTAAGCCATTTCCATTTACTGTGATGAATTTCATCGCAGTTTGGGTAGCTGATTTCCGAAGCTGTAAGAGCAGCATGCACTTCAGTTAACCAGCATAAAATAGTTACTGAGACTTTATATAATTAAAATAAGCCCATGACAATTCTGCCAGGTCACTAAAACAAGCTTCGTCAACTATTTACATCCTTTTTCCACCTCACACAAGTAAATCTTACCTGCCACCAAAGCCTCCACTTCCAGGATAATTGGGTCGCCCATACATGCCCTGCTGTATGTACGGCTGAGTGGAGCCTGCCTTGGCCGAGAATTGTTGCTGCTGTCCAGCAAACTGAGGGGAATTGATTCCAGGGTTGCTGGTAGTCATCCCAGAAGCCATGGGATTTCCTGCTGGGTTCATAGGGTTATTAGCATTTGCCATTGGATTTCCCAGCACCTGTGAGTAGAAACATGAGAATAAGGGGCTGTACTTGAACTACATCAAACAAATTAAGTTGATTTGCTGCAATCCATAAATTACAATATAACCACCCTGTACTCTGAACTCTGATGAATGTACACCTCGTTGATATCTAGTGCACATTCCTGGTGATTTCTCCTTTTCTTTTGCCATTTCCAAACAGAATTTCTCATCTCTACATGCTTGGTTTTTTTTTTTTGTTGATGTAGGACTTTGAAATAACTTGCAAATATTGTCTCATTGGCATAACGTGAAGGGTACTATAGATGCAAAAACTGTGAAAGAATATATTTCAGTGGCTTAACCTGTTCTTGAATCTAACTCTCTGTGAAGTGTACAGAAGTCTGTCAGTTGTTTTTATTGCTGCTTAGAAAAAGAGTCTTCTCTTCTGTTTTTAAAAGGACTTGGTTTGCTTGTTTGAAGCTTTTTTTTTTTTTTTTGCTCCCCAGTTGAACCAAAACTGCTATGATTTCCGTTGAGATGCAAGTATGGTTGCTCATGGATAACCTGCATGGAAACCTGTCTCCTACTTGGGAAGAAATTTAGCAGTCATGATTTTTGCAAAAGACCAAGTCATCAGCTTTGGGAATTTGTGAAAGGGAATCGGTGAGCCCAGCTCATTTCTTTCCCTCGGGGAGCACGAGGACTTACAGGAAACCCTGTCATTCATTTCAGTCTGCTCCGAACAGCTACAACCAAGCTTCACGTTTCAGAGTTTCACCCTTCCTTTGCAGTGATTCTGAAGAAGCATTTTCTTTCTACCAAAGGACTTTTTTTTCTTTTATTGCATATTCCTCTGAAGTATTGTGAAGAGTTCAAGTTACATTACAGTGTTCTTATAATAAAACAAAACTCTGAGTTTGGGTTTGTGTTCCCCCCCTCCCCCCTTTCCTTTTGCCTTTTTAAGTGTGAACAACTTTCACAAGAAACTATATTTCCATTTTCTGGCCAATGCATAGGCCTACCTGTTTACTCGTGTTTCGCTCCCAGATGGCATACCTTTTCTTTTAAGGTGTTAAAAAGAAAGCAACAATAATAAATGATGTTATAGATCCTGTAACTGTTTCCTCTATTTTTTGAAGAAATGATTTGCTACAACCAGTGCTTACATAACTGCCATGTGAGTATCTATATAACTTGGCCCCTGAATGATTTATTTTTCAAATGGCTCAATCTATAACAATTTTGTTTTTAATCTTCTGACCAAAATTAAAATACTAAGGAAAAAAAATCCACAGAAAATTTTGTGTGGGGTCTAGTATCACTTGATTTGACAAAGGTAGAAAAGACAAGTTAGATTTATATACCATTTGCACTCATTAAAGATGGTGACATGTTTAGAGCACTTCATCCACGGTGTAAGAAAAGGCTAGACTGTCTGAGAGCTTGATTTGTGTCACATCCCTTGGAGAGCACACTATCACAAATAATTGGCATCTCCTTCATTAAAATGGCTTCTTTTTGTGTAGCATAATTCAACATGTATTGCAGAAGAAAAAGAGAGGCAAGAGTGGAGAGAACTGAATGAAAATCCACTAAGTATGGCTCTCACCTGGAAGCCAGGAGCTCATGCTTTTGTTTCAATGCATACTGAAATATTTTTGCAAAGTAAGGCAGTATTAACAGGAGAGGTTGACAAGAGCACAGCCTATAGCTCATAGTTAGCACCTCAGCGTGGGCATAGACTTGGCACTGGACTTCACCAGCCCACAAGCATGACACAACCCTGGGTAAAATCAACAATAACTATCATTTGGTGAATCTAGCTAGAAATTTAATTTTTAATAAAACAACTGTTCAAATTCAATCTGAAATTCCCAAGAGGTTTGGGATTACCCCAAAATCATGCTTTCAGTGTTGAAGCCACACAGGGCAAAATATGTGCTAAACCCAAGCCTGACATTTGCATGCAGCTAAAGGAGTTACTGACTCAAGCTCTCAGACGCCTCCTTTCCGATGCCACCAAAGAGGACATGACTGGAAAAAAAACGCAGCGTGTACAACAAAAAGAACACAGACGCTGTTATCGATCCCAAGAGGATTTTCCAAGTAGCTTTCCATTTTGCAAACATTAGTGAAAACCCATATCTACGGGGGAGGGAGTGTAAAAATGAAGCTTACCTGGCTTTGAGAGGTGTTAGTCACACCCCATACTGTGGTGACCACTGATAAAGAGCCTGGAGGCTGGTTGGTATTTTGCTGCCAGGGAACAGAATCGTAAGGGAAAGACCCATCACTGCAAAAACAGATGTTTAGGAGGGTGAGATTTTGGAAGTTTAAACAGTGGCAAGTTGCTGGCGGGGACAAAGGGATTAACACCTGACTAACTCCCCATTCCTCCTTCTATTATTAGCTTAGTACTCTCAGAGGCATAAAGTTTCTTTAATAGCAATGTGATCATATCAAAACACCACAGAACTAATGAATTCCTTAACTATATTGGAGCACAGGGCTTTTACCATAAAGGTCCGTTACCAGTGGAAGCAAAAATAAACTCAGGGGCAGGGTTTCAAACAAGGACACTAAGCCACTTGCTCAGAAGCACTTATTTTTTTGCAATCCATCTCAAGCTCTTCAACAATCACTGCTTCAGCTGCCTCGTATCAATTCAATTAGATCTTGAGACCAGACTGCAGCTCCACTGTCTGCACTGGGTCCCCAAACGGCCAGAAAAGCCTTTAAAGGAATAGCAGTTCAACATCATTTTGAAAAGTAAATTGAAATTCAGATAGTGTTCTCCCACACGATGGATAAGCTGCATGCCAAAAACAGTATTAGCTAATCAGCATTCCAGAAAATCAACTGCAGATATACAACACATCTTTCAGATAAATACGTGGATGAGAGGATTGGGTTTTTCCATTACCTTTGTCCACATATACAAGCAAACATTTCTTACAGTTCTTTTCATACAAAAGCATTGGTTTCAAAATGAACACAGGATAGGTACACATCTAGTGTAATTAACGAAATATGTTAAATCTGTGAAAGTAAGTACTAATCCCATAACTGTAAAATATATCCCACTTGAAATTTGCTCATTCTCATACTCTTAACTTGTAAATTAGATTCCTATTTGCATATATGTACACATACAGACACACGATCTTTCCTCATCTAGATACATACATCGTTTAAAACACACACACATTGCTCTCATTTTCAAACGTCACTGACTTGTATTTTTGCCTGGACTACCAGCATCACTGGAATTCTATACAGGGCTACCTTGCCTAAAAAATCCATACAGGTTCTGTGAGTGTCGTATCAACGTGCTTCAAAGCCTGCACCATAAAGTGCCACACAATTAACTCACACAAGACATGGTGAGACAACCAACCTGCCAAAGTCCGAAAAAGGGCTCTGTGGCAGACCAGGGAGCTGACTCTCCCATGTCCCCAGAGAGCACTCCAGGCTTGGACCATGTCTCCTTCGTTTTGTGCTGTGAGCCAAAATCAAGGGCTACCTGTGTGTTTATTCTTTAGCCATGTTCATAACACCGAGTGTAAATCATTTAAGAGTAGGAATTGCATTGCACAAAGAAGTGTGCACACATGTGATAAAAACTGCCCCTGTCCCAAATAACCAATAATCTAATAACAGCAGCAACTGTGCAAGGTAAAATGAAACAGGGAATATATTTTATAAACAACTAGGAAATTTCAAACAAATTCCAGAATGCTGTGCCAGCACAACAGCATTGTATTAGAACATAACTGTGAATTTGAACTGACCTATTTGTTTCCAAATACCCAAATTGAATTAAGAAATAAAATCACACACACACAAAAAAAAAAATTAATGAAATTAGGGAAAAGAATAATTTCCCCTAACAAATAACTAGGGAAAATTAATGGAAAATAGTAATTCTCTATAAGATGCTTGACATGTAATGTTTATGTTGACAGCATGCATATAAAATAATGCATGAATAAGGGCATATTTAACACCTAGCAATCAGTAAGTCCTCCTAGCCCTTTTTTTTTTTTTTAAATATTTTCTATTAGAAGGATAAAAATGTTCCCCTTCTCATTCAGAGGCTCAGACAATGGCTTCAGTGACTAATATCTACAAGTGACACAACGCTTCCGCAAGTCCCTCCACCAGCACGGAGACAAACGACGACTAACGCAGAATTTGTGACTGCTATGAAGCCACCTTTTTTCCTGCTCTGAATGATGCCTCCTACTTTACTTCCTTCTCTGACTGTTTTTGATGATGTCTGCTCTGTGATTTGTTTGGGTATTTATGGCACATATGAGTGTTTGTATACTTCAACAGCTACAAAGAAGCTCTCTCCATGACATAGGCAGTTAAAGGACTCACTGCAGCCATTCCTCTCTATTCCCCACTGATGTGCTGTGGACAGGGAATAAAACCTGAGGGACAAGGCAAATGTTTTGCAAGTGTATGACTAAATAAGAAGGGTAATGACAGGCAGGGATCAAACCACAGAGTCACTGAAGGTTCTTCTAATGCCGTACTGTTTGTATGCATACTCAAACTTTGAGCTAGCGGTGCCTTAGCTGCTGTTAAGAAGTTATAACCATTTCTTCACATTCTTTGCCTCCAAAGCACGTTTCTTTTACCCGTTCCTCTCCTTTACAGTACACAGAAGAGATTTCATATATTATTCATCTGTACTTTCCAGTGGTAGAGCCACAGCATTTGTTTAGTGGAAGGCTGCACTGGGTTCTCAAAGACTATACAATCACTTCATCTAATTACGAAGAAGAGTAAATCACTCAATTTTTACTGTATTACAGTTAAAGTGGGTGACACCTCAAGAAACCGTATTGTTGACATGTGATGAAAGCCTCCAGCACAGGACCCAGCATAACACATGAAAGCCAGAAAAAAAGACCAGGTACAGATTTGTTGAGAAATATTAATTGTGCACATTGAATCACGTGACTATTACGCTATCCAGCAAAGGACTCAGCTTTCAACAGCAGACAACATTAATATCAGAAATTAGGCGACACTGAAATAGCGATGGATGTGCCTTGCAGAACAACAACTTATACATCCTAATATACACTTACTGCGCTAGACCTCACTTCACTCAAACTTCACTTTAGTTAGCCCAATAACAAATACACGGCATTCTCCTGGTTTGCATTCCCCAGCGTGATACTCTGGCCCATCACCAATTACAGGCGTCTTTGAGTATGACTTTTGCCATACCGGACACAATGCCCACCCTTCCTCCACCACGTGAAGGCTTCTTTGGTTTCAAGCAGTAGGAGATGCTCAAACACGTGCCACTCAGCTAAAGGGATACTTCTCCCTCCACTTTGCTCTTTCAGCTTGTGTTTCTGTCCTTAGAGAACCCAACGGAATACTGCCACCATCAAAGGAAAATCCATCTAAGTACCGTAATGAAACGTGACCAATCCAATTCTCATTTGCAAAAGAGCAGTGGCTTTCCCCTGTTGTTATACAGAGCTCTGAATTATTCTGAAATCCCTTTCTTTAAACTTGAAAATGGCAGCCAGTAGAGAAAGAGGCTTCAACCTCTCCAGCCAGGGCGAAATGCTGCCCACGACATTGTTCCTGTTGAACGGTACAAGGGTAATTAAGTCTCTCACTACACCCTGGAGGGCAGTGAGTCAGTTTGGGCTCAGCTGGAGTCCACTAAAAGAGTATTGACTAAATTTATAATAGTGTTAATGAACCTATACATACTACTGGTCAGCATTAAAGGCGAAACAGCAGAGGAAGCCATAGAGCAAAGAGGAAGAGATGGAGGGAAATTACTTCTCAAACTATGATGTAGTGAAACTGCAATCAAGGAATAAGGAGGAAGGATTTCTTAGCTGCTGGCAAATGTACTGAAACTATTGGTAATACAACACTCACGTCAGAGAAGTGCATCGGTACTTAGGTCTAAACAGCTTCTCTTGATCTCAGTGCTAGGAAAACAGAACCAGGCTGATATCCACCCTCTCTGGAATAGTTACAGACAGACTGTTAGTTAATTCTAATAAAAGTTGCTTAATAAAAAGTGAGCTCTGCAAATTAATACTACTGATTTACTGTAATTTATATATGATTTGTGGCATTATTTGAAAATGCTGTATTTTAAATATGTTTATGTTGTCATTAAAGCAATTGTGTGTGTATCTGATACTCTGTTTACATGTCTTCATTGATTGAGGAAGGAGACGTTCAGATAGTTCAGTGAAGTATGCATCCCTAGAGCATTGGCACTTTACATGTTGTGGAGGAGGGTAAAAACTGGAATTATACCTTCCCAGTGAGTTTCCACATCACTTGTTGAGACGGCCAGGTGTCTAAAACACTACCTTTATAAAGCATCTATTTCTGTTTTAAACACTGAAAATCTATCTGCTACTGCAGAAAAGCACCAGATGTTGGCTTTCTCAAAAACCCTTTTCACTCCAAGCACTGCAATCAAGTTTCCCACAACCGGGCTTTCAGTGACTAGTTTTTGTTGCTTACCCTGAAGCCAGCTTCACAGTTTTGCAGGGGTCTCTAATGTTTCTGAACCACAGTCATCCCACCTGACTGGTAGCTGACACACACAGAGTCTGCACAGTCCTTTAAATCTACAGACTCTATCATAACTTCTTCAGCTGACGCCAAGACGAGCAGGTAATTGCCAGCGTAACACTGACTGTCATTTCTCCCATGTCTTCTTTTGTCACCCGTGGACACCTAGAGAGGAGAGCACCTGACAACAAGGAGCAAGGTGTCAGAGATCTACCCAGGCCAAACACTCCTTCGCAGTTACACACGGCCAAAAAGCAGAAAGGTCCAAACACAGCCCAAAACCGGGGCTCCCGATCTGTCCTTGCCTGCCAGCACCTCTCTGTGTCTGCACCTTGCCCTGGCCCTACACGTGCCTCTGGGCGCGCGTGTGCTCCGGGTGCCCAGCACCCCTTGGCTGTATTCTTGGTTGGAGCCTCTAGGTGACACTACTTTAATACAAACTAAACCACAACAATCTCCAAACAAGGCTCCTTGCTCCTGCCTCACCCCTCGCTTCCCCTTAAAACCTTGCCTGTCTGCAGTGGAAAAATAGCACAAATCCCACAATCAGAACAGGAAATAAAGCCCTAGGTAACTGTAGCACCAATACACGCGTTTCACGCCCGTATTGTCTCAAGTTAGGCAGCTTAGCTTCTTTGATTCAGGTTTAGTTTTTGTTTTACTTGCGTTTCTCAAATGAACACCACTCACGTAGCTTTAATTATTAATATGGATTCAGTCAGCAATTCTTCTTGATTAGGGCACCACGTTCAACTTATTTTAAGCATACTCTTACTTCAGAAAAAGACTCTTTTGCATGGTGCAGTGCAAATACTGAATTTGAACCGCCTTGTCAGTGTGCTCATGTTATGGAACGTGCATGAATTTCAACACATTTTTATAATTTTCTTATCAGTATAAACAAAACCTAACAACTTCTTTAAAAGTAAAATCGCAAGAACAGATGGAACACTATTAACAGTTCCCTGCCACACTAAAATCCTCCAGGAAGGACTTCAGCTAATTTTTTCCGCATTCGATGAGCTAGGAATCCCTGACAATCTATTCATAAATAACAGATCAAATGGATTTTTAACTTACTTTATAGTCAAATTTCCACTGAAAATATCCTTGGCCTTGACTACTAATTTGAAAAAAAACAATGTGACACCTGAAAGCCAAAATTTGTTTCCTCTTACTGACAATCAAAAACATTTCAGAGATCTGCTTTTGTTTTCTTTTTAAAAACCCCGGACATTTAGAAGGAAACAGCTGACTTCTCATTTTTCATTGAGATTTTTTTTTCAGGGGAACAAACCCAATGCCTCACCAGCTGAGATACATGCACCATCTTCATATGGCTAAAATGCTTGGCCCAAGTGTTTCAACTTAAGCACTTAAAATTAGTTTTTAGTCTAGTTAACAGACATAAAAATGCAGTACTATTCAAAAATTTTTATAACATGAGATTTAACCAAGTTACCCCTTGACCTTTTGTGCTGTGTTTTCCATAGACTGTAGAAACCACTCTGCACACTCCATTCTCCGTTTGCACAGAGGAATATGGCAGAGCAAGGAAAGGAGACAGCCGTGTAGGAAGGACACAAAGACCACTTACAGTCAGCAAGGAAATGTGAAGACGTATTGTAAAGAGAACAAGAATAACTACCTCTGTACACCACACACTGTCATAAAGCAAACGAAAAGCCAACGTTGTGTACAGGTACCCTAAGGTGTTTACATTGAAGATGAGGGGAAAACCAAAAAGGGGGTGGTATAGTTAAGTGTGTATACCAACACTGACTTTGGATGGCTAGCAGTAATTTACTTTTGATTGATGCTGCCTATGTGATGCATGCCTTCCTCAAATACATTCCTCTACTTAGTACCATTATTTGAAGAAATTGAAGTGGTACTGGCATAAATTAAGGCTCCATCATGTATTTCACTAAACAAATACATAAGACAAAGTCCCATCCAAATCACTAGGTGTATTTATGTAATGCAAAAGCGAAAAAAGTCAATTTGGAAGCATTTTGCAAGACTTTATTTCCCTCTACTTCTTAATGGCGTGACTCCAAACACTCAGCTCTTACAAAGAAAATATACAGCTCCAAAAACTATCCCCCCCACCATTTCTCAAGTCTGTTGTTTCTTTCCACTCGTTCCAACTAGATGAATATGTTCTCTAACCCTTTGGAAAGCTTCCATTTTCCCAGCTCCAAATGCACAGAGGATCCTTACCTAGTCCTTCCCTATCAAGAAAGAATTACCTCAAGCGTTGTTTCAGTACTGGGTGTTGCCTGTACTGGGCTACGAGCAACGTAAACTGAAGAGGAAGAGTGAAAGCAGTTAGAAATTCCATAGTTCACCGTAAAAAGAAGGAAGGCTGTTTTCTGGCAAACAGTTTGCAAACCCAGAAGCATTCTGAGCCTGTTCTAGGTGAGCAGAGGCAGGTGAAGCAGTCAAAAGGTGAAAGCAGCAAGCCACTTAGCAGCTCGGTGGTTTGGATGGCGCCACTTAGCAGCTCGGTGGTTTGGATGGCCCCTGCAGCTAGCAGGTGGCTATCACCCCCCGCCTCTGCTCTTTTAAATATCAACACACGTTTACAATAACCATTCATGCAGCCACACACATACGCACAATACAGCCGCTTGCGTGAAGACCGAGACGGCAAAATTGAGCGGGCGTTTCAGCAGGTGATGCAAAGTACCTCTGGAAGCCGAAAGCCCTGAACTTTTTCTTTATAGTCCTGACAAGGCCTTGGGAGGCCCGCATGACTTATGACCGCACGCGGTGGGAACGCTGCCTTCCATTTCGCATTGGGTTGCTACAGGTCAGGCTGTGACATGCTCGCTGCTGCTTCCTGGCGCCTTACCCCACGCACAGTCTCATCAGCGAGAGAGCCGTGCCTGCAAAGTACCGCGCTGCTCAACAAGAGTTAGTGCATCTGAATCTGACCCCCGAAATCAGAAAAACGCATCAGGCCAAATAATTAGATTAACGCAGAAGTTTCTGAACCTGCAAACGCCCGCACCCCCCCGCATACACACACAGTCCCGCTACGTTACAGCTTTCATATATGTCCACGCACACGTGTGTGCGCATGCGCGCAAAGACACAGAGATAACACAACTTATTTCTGTCTACGTGGAACAAATGATCACAGCTATGCAGGTAAGAAACAACAACGCTGCTGAGACCCGCTCCTGCCTCAGAAGCAGCTGAAGGGGTTACCATCGTCTGACATTATGGGACTACGGCATCCCTCCGATCAAAGGAAAAAAAAAGATTAAAGCATCACACCCAGTTCTATTGTCACACAAGTAGACCATGCAACGCATTACTACAGCCCAGATTACAGTTACAAAATCCACCGGTAACAGCCCTGGTATTAACATGCCACCTGTTACCTTTTTCAAAATGCTGAAATTATCTTATGATCGTTTTCAGCTTGACAAATGCAGTTTAACCTTTATTGCATCTCACAGCACAGACCTGCTTCATCCATGTCTTATTTATCTCACGTGTGTCGGAATGCAACCCCGAGCCCTCAGTCCCCCCCTGCCACCAGGCATTCCTTCTGCTCTGCTTTATCAATATACCTGGGTTTCCATATCCGACTGCTCCTTTACAATAAAAAACACACCCACCCAGTATTCTACCATTGCCTGTTGCCTTGGTAATCCAAATGCCTGGGTACTCGCTGATTATCGGCGAATGAGACTCGCATTGTTCACACCGCAGCGCGTCTGCTATGTTAATGTGAGATAATGGCAGCCAGAAGACTCCTTTTGTTCCCAGCTTTGCTGTTTATTCATAGTGCCTGGAGGTCAGCGACTGCTACAACAACCGGGGAAGGAACCGCTGAAAGCGTGAGCAGATTCCACTTCTGCTTTTGCCTCTGAGACAGGGGGACACGAGCAGCCCCGCACAGCGAGAAGGGCAGCGGGAGCTCTGCAGTCTGACTCGCGCAAGGTGTAGCAGGCGGCTAGGAGGAAGATTTGATGGACTTGCACTTCCGAGATTTTAGATGAAGCTGATTTACGCTCCCCGACAACAGAAAAAACCGCTTGCTTCGAG